AAATCTTTCTTAACCTCGGAGTTTGGCTGACCTCGGAGTTTGGCTGACCTCGGAGTGTGGCTGACCTCGGAGTTTGGCTTTAGCAAAAAAATTCAAATGTTTGGCTGACCTCGGAGTTTGTTTCTGATCGTTGTAGACCTCTTGAGGGGTCATGGGAACCAAAACATTCTTCTTACCCTTATACTCAAAGGAATGACGGTTTGAAAAACCATCATGTATCACTCGGTGGTCAGATTGCCACGGCCTTCCCAACAGGATGTGACTTGCTTCCATATGTAGCACATCACATAGTATCTCATCATTGTATTCTCCAATCGCCAATGGGAGTAACACTTGCTCGGTGACCTTCATTTCTCCTTTCTCATTCAGCCAATACAACTTATAAGGGCTCGGATGAGGAGTAACTTGTAACCCCAACTTCTTGACCATGATATTACTTGCAACGTTGGCACAACGTCCACCGTCTATGATCAAACTGCAAACCTTTACTTGAATTAAGCAACGGTGTGAAAGAGGTTCTCTCTCTGATCTTGTTCCTCTGGCTTGCTTTGCACGGTCAAAGTCCTTCTTGTTACAAGTAACTCTCCCTGGACTGGTAGCAATTCATTTTCCTCCTTAGTTTCCTCTTGCTTCACATCTTCTGATTCTATATCACCGTTGTCAAGCAAGACCATGACTCGTTTGTTTATGCACTCATTGGCATAATGCCCTCGGCCTTGGCACTTGAAACACTTCACATCATGTACCTTAGTACCAGCCTCCTTAGTTTTTCCATATAAAGATGTAGCTTCTGGTTTTGGAACGGATGGCCTGACCTCTCTCGGATGGTTCTTATAGTCCCGCGGGTAGACTGACCGGTTGTTGGTACCGTTGCCAAGAACAGTACGGTACGACCCTTTCCTCTTTACTTGTTGCTCGAACAAAACAGCCTTATGGAGCATTTCTTCCAGGTCCACATAGTGTTGGGTCTCAAGGCGGTCCTGAATCTCACGGTTAAGCCCTCCGAGGAACCTGGCCATTGTGGCTTCTCTATCTTCTAAGATGTCCGCCCTAAGCATGAGTGTTTCCATCTCCTGAAAGTATTCTTCCACTGTATGGCTGCCTTGTGTCAATCTCCTAAGTCTTTGATGGAGGTCCTGGTGGTAATGGCTAGGCACAAACCGCATCCTCATTAAATTTCTCATCTCGTTCCATGTAGTAACCAGGTACTCTTGGTTGCGTCTTCTAGTTGTGATAAGTTGATCCCACCAACTCAAAGCGTAGTCATAGAACTCTGTTGCTGCGACCTTAACTCTGTTCTCCTCCGTATAGTGCTGCACGTTGAAGACATGTTTTATTTTCTTCTCCCATTCAAGGTAAGCATCCGGATCACACTTGCCATGGAAGGAGGGAATCTTCAACTTAAGCCCGGCCTAGTTGTCCTACACTCGGTCTCTGCCCTGTCTAGAGCTTCTCCAGCCACTCCTTGAAGAACCACTGCCTTTGTGGTATTGGTCTGTGTGATGTCCGCTGCCTTGATCTTCTTGATCGTCTTCTCTCACATTTTCTTTGCCCGGACGCTTATTGACTGGCTCTCTTTGTTCAAAATCCTGTCTGATCTTCTCCACTTCCGAGTGTAACATCTTTTTCAACTCGGTTGTGAGGGCCTCAATCAATATCCTTTGACTTCTTCCCATTTGACTCTCTGGATCATCTTCTCCGGCCACGGTACCTGAAAAATAATGAACAACTCGCAGTAAATAGTTCTTTGATAGATTAGAATTAATATAAATTCTAAACTATTTAAAACAACATTTTGAAAAATATAAGCAACTAAATCCATGATGAACAAGGTTTTTAAAATTGTGATTGAAAGTAGATGAAGAGACAAAAATTGAATCGAGAAAATAAGAACAGATCGGATCAGAAAACATAGCTTTAAAAGGTTTGCTCTAATACCACGTAATATGATTCCTCTTGACTGTAACCTTACAAGCTATCACTGGAAGGAAATAGATCCGGTGATGGTGAACACAGAAGACGGACTCAGTGACTTTTGTTCTGATTTGGGGGGAATGAAAGGTGAAAAAGCGAATGATGGATGTAGACAAGAGGTGCGGCTAACTCTTGTAAACAACTGAATGAAGCAAACGATATGATGCACCAATGATTCAAACAGGTTTTCTCAAGGATATTACACACCGTGAGAGGTTGATCTATATTGAAATGATTTTATTAAAGAGATAGATGAACTCCACTCTTCTTCCACACATGGTTTTAAGGAGAAAAGAGGGGACACAGACAACAAGAAGCAATAAGTTAGTCTCGGGACAGATCCCCTTGACTAACCATGCAAAGACTCAATTCAAAAACAAATTAACAAAAGAACTAAGACACAAAAACGGCTAAGTACAAACTGACTCAAGACCTTCCAAGCCAAGGATGGTAGAAAGAAGTGGGCTTGGACAATGCTAAGCTTAATGGGCAATGACGATGTGGGAACACTTGCCTCGTTAAAAACCTTAGTGAGAAAACCCAATGGGACAAAACTCACTAAGGGAAAAAAAGCACGAAATATCCCACAAACCATTAGCTTAGTCATCGACTATAATACAAACCAGGGTGGAATGTATAGCCTTTTTATTTTTTGGTTCATACTTAAACTGATTAACTAGAACCTCTAAGGCATTTTGAAATGCCTTAGTCTTAGACCGGGCCATTGGTCCTTCTGAAACCTCAAGATCCTCCTTTTCATCCTCAAGCTTAGTTTCTTCTTGCTCCTCCTCAGCTACAAGCTCACACTCTAAGTTAGAGCCTTCCATAATCATATCACCGGTATCCCAAAATATGTATCCATCCCTGCAATATTTGTGATGCCTAAATTTCTGTGGATTAGGGCTCTGATATCTGGGTCCACATTATGTCTGAATTGAACCGTTGACTTATCATAATTAATCTGTTGCCCTGAAACTGATTCATACTATTTCAGTATGTGCAACAGGTTAATTGATTCTTCCAGACTTGCCTTACAGAAAAAAGGCTATCATCAGCAAAAAGCATATGGGATACCCATGGACTAGTCCGAGCTATCCTCAGTACCGTAATTAATTTGTCTCATTCTGCCTTTTTTAGATTCGAAATCAGGACTTTCGTGCATAATATAAATAGGTACCGAGATAAAGGATCTCCTTGTCTGAGACCCCGTTTAGGTTTCATCTGACCTCGTGGGTGACAATTTAACCAAAACCTTATACTGAACCGACTGAATGCACCACATTCAACACAATCATATGCTTTGCTCATGTCTGTATTTACCCCCATAAAATCTTTCCTGCATGATTTGTTTGTCTGTAGACCATGAAGCATTTCTTGGACTATTAGGATATTATCCGAGATAAGCCGCCCGACACAAAAGCTGACTGAGTTTCAGAGATCAGCCTTGCTAACCACCTTCTTAGGCGTTAACATAAAGACCTTAGAGATTATTTTGTAACCCACAATACAAAGATTGATGGGTCTTAGTTCTATCATCTTGGTTGGCCGATCCGTTTTGGTATTAAGAAAATATTCTTTGCGTTTAACCTTTTATCAAAATGGCCCTTAATAAGGAAATCGTTTACCATCATCACCACATCGCTTTTTATAATCTCCCAAGATTTCTGAAAAAACAGGGCAGTCATAACGTCATGGCCTGGTGCCTTTCCTGGGTGCATCATAAATAACGCTTTTCTGACTTCCTCCTCTGTTGCCGGTTTGACAAGTTCCAAATTGTTTGTCCCATTTATTACCCGGGTTATTTCCGCTAAATCATCGCCAAACTCCGTTGGAGAGCTTGTCTTGTATAATTTATCAAAGTACTCTACCGCAACCTTTTCCACCTTTTTTCCCCTTCTGCCCAGACACGTTGTTTTTCATGTAGTCCCACAATCCTATTAATTGTCTGCCTTTGTTTTATAGTCGCATGATAAAACATTGTATTTAGATCCCCGCACCTATTCCACATATTACGACTCTTCTGTTGCCAGTAGAGTTCCTCATCCCGATATGCGGTTTTGAGTTTGAGTGGTATGTCATTAAGCTCCTCTTGTGTGCGGCTATCAGCGTCGTGCATTTCCTCAAGAATCCTTTGTAATTCCTCAATTTTATCCCTTCCATAAGGTTGATTATCCTTCCGCGATTTGGATATTTCATTCTGACATGTACTTATTTTGTCCACTATCGTTCTCCCCCCGTCCATTTGATCAAAAGACCAACCTTGTGTGATTGCCTCCATTAGTCCTTCTTGACCAACCCACCGTTTATCGAAAAGAAACTATCTTCGTCGTTTGATTTTTTTGCATCAAGTGTAGCTACTATAGGCTATCATGCCAGTCCTCTGTTGCTATATCCCAATGCAGTCTACATCTAACATTATGTCCATTTCTTCTCCTTTTCCAAGACAATATATTTCCACAATTCGGAAAATCAATTAATCCACAATCGTTAATCATAGTATTAAAACTGGTAAAAGAACATGCTTGTCTAAGAATTCCTCCTTGTTTTTCATGATTACCCATTAATTCATTGAAATCTCCGATTAAAAACCACGGATCTGTTATGGTCATACTAATTCGGGTTAACCTCTCCTAGACTTGGTGTCATAATTTTAGAACCGGATTCCCATATACAAATGACAAATAAATTGTTTTCCCTTAAAAATGTGCCTCAATATCCATAAGTCTTTTATTAGCAAACAATAATTGAACATCAAACGTTTTATTACAAAAAAAAGCAAGTCCTACACTTGCACCACACGGATCAACCGTGAACAACCGTGAACAATGAATTGTTCGACAAATTCAGAACATTGCTTAGTCTCTGAAAGAAAAAGAAAATCTGGTCTAAACTTTCTCCAAATCTCTCTGAGATAACTTACTGTGTACCTGTTACCTAAGCCTTAGCAATTCCAACTCAACACTCGCAATAAGTAAAAGATTTATGATCCACTCCCTCGACCATTCCCTCAGTCTTCCGTGAACCTATCATACCTCTCTCAACCGCCTTTTTGACTCACGGGTTATTCCTTTCTTCCGTGGAGTAGTAATCTTTAGTAACTTCTTTGATCCGCCTCTTACTGTAAGATACCCTTTGAAGAGCTTCTTCGTAGCTCCGACTTTAAAGGATAGTTTTAAAATCCCGTTATATTCCCCAGAACCCGTCAAGACCTCAATACTGATCCCCTGATCCCCCACCTCCTCTTCTGCATCAACGGTAAGTGCATAAGGCTTTAAGTCCCCCAGCCCCACCATTGTGTCCTGCATCTCCATTTCTGTATCCTTCTGAACTAGCACCCCCCTCTCCTTCTCTCCATTATCTTGTTCAGCTTCCATAAACTCCAAGACACAATCCAGCTCCTCAAGTCCCTGATACTCATGTGCCTCTGAATCATCTAAATTTATCTCTGCCGAATCCACCATTGCCACTCGGTTAACTATATTCCCCAAGTCATCCAGCTCGGGCACCACTGTTTCAAAATCAAGCCCCTTACGAACTCTTTTAGCGGACTGTTTGATAGGACTCATTGGGTTAGTCTCTGAAGTCCCCTCCTTCGTATCAGCACTTGCCAGATTTTTTTGCTTCATCAAATAACCCTCCTTACTCCTTTGAATACCTTGGGAAGAGCCACTACCTCGGTGTCTTCCCTCTCGGGAGGGAAATGGCCTTGCTGCAAACCTTGAAACCCCCAACTTGTCACTCCTCGCTTTGTCACCCTGATTAGCAGTCTTACGTACCTCTCTTTCCTCGATAACCTTCCCTTTCCCTTTCTGCGATTCACCCATGCTCTTCTTCGATTCATGTCTGGATAGATATGGAGTACCTGACGAGGAGTCATTTTCTTGAGAAGAGCATCCAGGGCAAGTATGTTTATCAATTCCTCAACAACGACTTGGAGCATGTGAGAGTCCTTCTCCCAAACCCAAGGCTTACCTCCTTCACCCCAACATCAAACATCGATTTCAACTTGAGTGAGGAGGAGCTCTACACAGGCAGCCCTATTCCTACAGTAGAAGAAGAAGAAGACAGTGAAGAAGAAGAGGAGCACACTGAAGAGATCAGAGAAGAAGAAGGAGAAGAACAATGGAATGCTACTGCTGGCGCTGAAGGCCAAGGAAGAACCCATGAAGAAGAGGAGCTTGAAGAAGAAGAAGTGTTGAACTACAGCTCAAAGCAGTTCCACTTCCAGCCCTATGAAGCTCCTAACCAAGGAAGCTCTTTGAGAGCAGCTCATGAGCACATTAACACACTATAGAAGTGGTGCAAGTGGCAGGACAAAGCCATCAAAGGGCTTATGAAGATGGTGAAGGGGAAGTTCAGGAAGAACAAGGCTACATCAGCAAAAACTTCCCACCACAGCCACACCCAAGAGCTCAACTCTTAACAAGAAGAGCAACTCCACCAAGCTGAGCAAACTGAAGAGGAGGAAGCTGTATGGAACCCCCATGGAAGACACTAATTCCATGCACAACCAAGTGATCAATGGGGGTACATGCGCATAACCAAGGGCCTCATCTTATGAGCCAAGAGCCCATGTTCCATCAGCTTGGGAGGCGCCAACCCCCAACTCCTGTGTAATTCAAGAAACATGGCAAAAGGGCACACAAGGGACTTCTTCACAAGCTGAACAGCTATGGTCAAGCTGGGTTCAACCAACTCCAGAAGCAGAGCATTCCACTAAAGTCTATGAGAGAAGGAAGAGGAGAGCTAGCAAGTCTCCACAGACCTCAGGATCATCCCACAACTCCTACCATTGAACCAAGTACCACAGCCCTTCCATTGTTCTATACCATTGCATTTTTTTATTTTTGTAATATATTTTGTTGCTTCTCTCTTCCATTGCTTTCATTACACAAGGGACTGTGTAATTTAAGTGTGGGGGAGAGATTTGGGGTTTGACTTTGTTTTCTGTTTTCTTAGTTTTTCTTTTTCTTTTCACTTTGAGTCTCATGCATATAATGCATACATGTAAGGCATAGAAAAACACAAAAAAATCGAAATAATTTGAAATTTTTTGCATTTTTGCAAACCAAAAAGAGAGCATGTAGTTGCATTTCATTCTTCTAAGATTGAGTCTAGTGTTGACATATAGGTTGCATTGCATTTGCATAGGGCATTATGATGAATTTTCCTTGTAAAGTGCTTAGTGTTTAGAGATGATTTCAGTTTTTAAGTGCTCAGTTGTTTGATGCATCATTTGATTGCTAGAAGTTAAGGCTGAACCATGCTTAGATTGCTAGATTTGGTCTTCTCATCTCATTCTGAAAGCATTTGTTCTCTGAAAATCAACTCTATCAACTTGAACATTAATTTGGACTTTTAATTATCATGTCTTATGCATTGAAAAGTGAATTCATGGCTACCATATACATATTTGGATCATCTTTCTCCTTTTTACCACTCTTGTTGATCCAAATAGCTGATCCTCATAATTATGGGACAGTTACATCCTCACCCTTAACCAAAACCTCCTTTTGAGCCTAAACACTATTGTGAGAGCTGTGAGGCCTTTGCATTGCATTTTCGATTTAGTCTTGGCAAAAAGTGTTAGGAATAAGGGTGGCAATGATTAGCTCTCTTGTAGATATCAGCTTGCATCTTGAGCTTGATTCTAGGATAGGAGTTTTGGGGTTTAAAAAGGGTAGTATAAGTGGTTTGATCTTCATGTTTTTATGTTTTGAAAGAAAGGGAAAAGATCTGAAATGGTAGAAAAGGGGAAACAGTCTAGTATTGTGGTTAAGTAAAGGGAATAAAAGCTCTAAATTTAAAAAGAAGGATTGGCGCCAACAAAAATGCTCAGAAGGGTCCAAAAGAAGAAAAATCTGACCAAGGAGCAATCCACCAAAGGTGATGAAGGTGCCAACACAACAAAGAAGAGCAAGTCTTAACCAAAAAGAAGCAGCCACACAAGCAAAAGAAGAAGTTTCCCCAGCCATGAAGATGGGTAAAGGGTAGAATCTAGGAAAGGGTAGACTTAGAGGGTTCACTCTTGGGTTTAGAAATGCTTAGGACTCATCTTTGGGAAGTAAGGGTAGAAGAGAGCTTTGAATTGCATGCATAAGTGTGCTTTTACCTTTAACATTTTGCCTAAGATGAAGTTATTTCATTGAGTGATCCTTTATGTTTTTGAACCCTTGTTCTTAAATGAGAGCATTCTTATCTCATAACCTTACCCTTTTCAACCAAATGTCTTCACTTGATTTGCATAAGCATGATTCATGTTCTGAATTTAATTGAATGTTAAAGAGTTGATTGATTTGAGCATTTGCCTAAGTTGAGATTTGAGATCATTTTGAAACATGATGAGCATGGCTAGGATCTTTAAAGCATAGATGATTATGTTTGCATCCTACAACTAGGCACTTAAGCACTAAAACAATCTCTTTATCTTTGCACTTTTGGAATCTGAATGCCCACTTTCAAACCTCACTCTCCCATTTGTTCTTGATTGCTTGAGGACAAGCAAAAGGCAAGTGTGGGGGTGTTGATATCCCTTATATTTACATCATTTAGGGCTGCATTTAGTACATATTTTGATCCTCTTTTGCATGTTTTCCCTTTGCTTTTGTCCCATTTTCTTCTCCTTTTAGACTTAGTTGCATTTAGAGTATAGTTTGCATTTTCTTTGCATTTTGGATGTTTTTAGGTGCTTTTGGAGCTTAAAGGAGCTTGGAGGAGTTTTGGGAATGATACAAGATGCAAGCTGGGAAAAAGGGAGCAAGAAGGATCACAGCAGATGATCTCTGCAGAAGTTTTCGGTCATAGCACGGAGATTTTCGGTCAAGGGTGACCGATACGAAGCATATCGGTCACCAGTATCGGTCAAGTGTGATCGACACAAACACATCGGATTAATTTCAGTCATGTGTGTCGATCACTGAAGACCGATAGGGACCCATTTCGGTCACTGGAGATCGACACGACTGACCGATACTGACCCAGCCTGAACCTATTTTTAATTACAATTATGCCATTACTCTAGGGTTTTCTTTTCTAGGCTATAAATAGCCTATTTTTTCAGATTTTCGACAAGTCATGTCATTTTACTATTCTTTAGCATTTCTTTTAAGTTTGTAAGACAATTTCTTTGCTTTGTTTAATATAATCAAGTATTTGCTTTAATCTTTCTTTAATCTTTCTTTTAATGATGATTAGCATCCTTTCCTTTCGTGATTTGGTGTTAAACATGATTATGAGTGAGTAGTGATCTTAGGGTTTCTAGATGTTGTAGATTAGGGGAATCTAAGGCTTGATTAAGGCTTGTTATGTTCTTCATTTTATGGGTTCCTCTCTATTAATATGTTATTCATGCTAGATTAGTCTTGATCAAACTTGTCTAAGTTGTTAGCTTTCTCTTATGCCCACCAAGTGTTTGATGAAATGCTGATCTTGTTTAATAGAGGATTTGCTGGCCTTGGCTCAAGAGATTGACTATTTGAGGAGCATTTTGACTTGAATAGAGTTGTTTAATCATGCTTGCTTGATGTTTTAGCACTAATGAGAGTTAGTTCTTGTTAGAATGTTTAGCAAAGGGTTATTTGCCAATAGATTGGATCTAACTAGCTTAAGTGTGAACTCTATGTCTGGGAATCAACATTGCTTGCCTGTTTGCTTGATCAATGTAGTTTGAAACAGCCTTAGTTGATGCCTGAAATTCCCCAAAGTCAATAACCACATCTAGAGACTTGCCTTTTTCTTATATGAATTTCGGATTTGCTCTATTTTGCTCTGTTTTACTTTGTTTTTCTTGTTTAGAACTGCTTAATTTGCTTTTGCTTTCATTTTGTTTGCTACTTGTTTCACCTAGGTTGCTAGAACTGTTGCTTAGGCAACAAAACAAATTCTCTGCCTGCTTGACTTAGAGACTTTACTCTCAACTCTTCTGTTTTCAACTCTTCCCATTGGATTGACATAAAACCTTTACTACAACTGACTAGTACAAGGGTGATTGAAACAAAGTCACAAAAAGACTTGTATCACATTTGCAATTATATGTTTTTGTAAACGCAAGGAAAAATAAAAAATTTCAAAAGGCACAAAACGATAGGAAACGTTTGTGTGATTGTTGTTAAGACACTAAAATTGTATATGTAAAAAAAAAATATAACGTTTACATAATGTATAAGAAAATTAATCAATAATTAAATTATATAACTAATTATGTCTAAAAACAAATTATACCTGCTCATGCGTGCGGGCCAAAAAAAAATTTAATAAATTGTTATAGATTTTAATGTTTTCCCATTTATTTAGTTATTATATTTATAATTTTTTATCTAAGGAAAATGTTAAAATTTTAGTTAATATTTTTTTCTTCCTTTTTTTGAAATCTATATCGTTTTATATTTAATTTATCATTTTTATTTTTAAATATTTATAATTTTATTATTAATACATAATTAATTATATACAAATGAAACATTTTTAATATTATACTAATCATAATTAAACATATCAAATATTATATAGCCTGCACACGGTGTAGACCGATCACTTAGTTATTATTATAATCATATATTAATTATTATTATAATACATATACATTTAATTATAATTTAAATAATAATTATTATAACAATAGAATAATAATAAGTTAATATAAAATTATATATAAAATAATTACATTATTATAATTACACTAATCATTTATAATTGATTCTTTTCCCATAA